TGATCTTCTTTTCTTGTAATTTTTCATTGTTTCTGTATTTAGCTAAGGCTGAAAAAATAGAAAGAACATTCCCTTTACTTTCAAGTTATAAATAACACACATGATCCTTTGCAATCTAAAAATAATTTTTAAATTTAGACATACATGCGTGTACTTTTGCGAGATATTGTTTTTAAAATGAAGAAGAAACTGGTCGACTATGGGTTTGGCGCCTCTAGGGTATCCAGACCGATAAGATTTCTCAATTATTTATTTGCAGGAAGACTAAAAATGGCACTGAACTTGGTACAAAAGGAAGTGTCTATATTCTGCATCACTTACTAGTTCTAAATCTACGATCAGGACTTATAATTATTAATTCATAAAAAAAGAATCAATAGTGTTAAATTGAATGATAAATGGTTCATACACACGTTTCATTATCTTAACTGTTTCAGAAATCAACCTACATTGATCTTTGACTTTTTACGAATAACAATTGTCAAAAATTAGAATCTTAAAATACAAAATTAACTTTTGACCAAAATTAGCTTATGCTAGTTTTGTATATCTGGTATAAGCAAAGAAGACAGACCTCAGATGTTGTCATGTGTGTATAAAAATCAATAAGTACCTACATGTATATACAGAAACATCATTAATTGATTATGAAGTTTATTGAACCTTTGGAACAAATGGAAAAATTAAGAAGCAGAAAGGTAGTTGACCTGACTTAAACAACAGACAAACTCTTAAAGACATTATTACTATTAAACGTTATTTGTGTAGATCAATTATACGTTGAAATATACTGTACAAGAGAGCATTCTCTGCAAACACATTCAATTTGGATATCCCATATAAAAACATGAAACTTGTTCTCTGAGAACGTCTCAAAAATCATATGAAAATATCAAATTGGCAAAACAATGCATTGATTTTTGCAGCTTCAGGCTGAATTTTATCGATTTTTCAATTACGCCATTGTTGGGAGTACTTTAATGGCAGTGCTAAACTGCAGTTAACTTCGTACTTTGTACACTAGCTGCTTCAAATTTGCAAACCTCAGCACAAAAAAATTGTGACCCTCAAATTATCCAATATACCCATTGTTACCCACTGATTTAGGATATTTGTTGGAATAAGGAAGATTATAAAAAAGGAATAACAGTCACTTTCAAAAGAAGTTTAAACAAATGGAAACAAAAAAATATAATTGACATTTAAAGTGAATGGCATTGTCATGTCAATTAAAATAAAAAAATTTATAGACCAACATCAAATAGTACATTTTTCTCTTCGATTTCCATCTACAAAAAACTTCTTTCAAGAAAAAAAAGGACTTAAAAAATATCCTTACTGTCATTATCAAAATCATTTTCCATTTATAAGAGCTTTCAGTTTACAAAGTGATCCAAAACTTGAAAGAATCTCTTTTCAAGCTGGAAAAATGCATTTAAAGAGACATCGTCAAAATCCCCGTTTTCCAAACAGGCTATCATTGAAATTTCTGATAACACATGTGCATGCCAAAGTATTGCTTCCTTCCTTTTCAAACAATACTGGACAACCTTACATTAAGTATATTCAATACATGTAAAAGGGAGCTTCCTGCTTTAAAAATACATACAACAACATCTTGCTTCATTATAAGAATGATACCTCCTCAAATGTAAACAAATAAAAATCTTTTTACAAAATCTGCACAATTCAAGTTTGCAAAGCATACCTACTGGTATGTCAAAGGTGTGAAATTGTTAATTTCATTGCAGATTTTCTCCCGAGATATATTTTTTTTATTTTGATCTCCAAAATTTGATTTATGATATATCAAGATTGAAAATCCCAATACATAAATGGCCTTATTGATAGAATTGATTTCCAATATCAAATTAGGAACAAAATAATAAATAAATATAAATATATCAGACGTGCCGTTCCCCATAAAAAGGATAAAATTCCAAATATCACCTTATTATGTTCCCCAAACGAAGTTGGGGAACATATTGTTTTTACTCTGTTTCTTATTATTATTATTATTATTAAGGTCTTCCGTCTTCAGCGGAAGACCTTTCTGTTATTCTTAGGTTTCTTTTTCACTTTTATTATTGTTTTTTTTCTTACCGATTTTGTGCACGCGATTTCTCAAAAACGGCTTGATGAATTTTCATGAAACTTTCAGGACTTATGTATCATCACTTGAACCTTATGCGTTTTTTTTCTTTTTTGATGACGTCACTTCCGGTCTGAGATATTGCCGATTTTATGAATTTTAAAGGGTCAGGTTGTCCAGAGTTTTTCTGGAAAATGGGTTAAAATAGTAACATGAAACTTTCAGGTATGATAGACCTATGTCTGTAGATGTGCATTTGGCATTTTGATTTTTCCGGAAACGCCGCATGTCGGCGCTCGCTATGGTCCGAAAATAGTCCTGTCGTGAATTTCAAAATTTCTAACACATTTTCTTCGATATCTTTTAACCTAGAAATATTTTGTTAAAATATATAGAACAAAAGAAGCGTGGAATTCCAAGATCTTTCAAATGATATCTCAAAAAAGGGACTGGCGCCTAAAATTAAGGGCCTAGAGGGGCTGAAAGTTTTTTCTTTATATCTCAAAACGTATTGAGAATATGTAATACGTCAAAGAAACAAAGTTGTTCAAAATGTCAAGCTTCATCTATTGGAGTCGTTAAAAAACGTCCGTCGTCGTCACTTCCGTCCAAAGCGGAAGTGGTCGGAAAACGCGTTTTTTGCCGTTCTTGTCAAGCTTTTGGGTTACATATGTCTCTGGGAGGATAAAAAAAAAGTTTTTCCGCCCGTCGTTGTCACTTCCGGTCAAACCGGAAGTAGCAAAAAATGGCATATTTTGAAGGTTTTGATGCAAAATTGAAAATATAAAGTAACTGGAAACTACTTAGCTTATTGCTTTCTTTTTTTCCGTCACTTCCGTCACTTCCGGTCAAAACCGGATGGAAGACCTACTCGTTGCTTTGCAACGAGCTTTGCTCTAGTTAAGGTCTTCCGTCTTCAGCGGAAGACCTTCTTGTTATTCTTAGGTTTCTTTTTCACTTTTATTATTATTATTCTTTTTTTTCTTACCGATTTTGTGCACGCGATTTCTCAAAAACGGCTCGATGGATTTCCATGAAACTTTCAGGACTTATGTAACATTACTTGAACCTTATGCATTTTTTTCCGATTTGATGACGTCACTTCCGGTTTGGAGATATTGTCGATTTTATGATTTTTGAAGGGTCAGATTGTCCGCAAACTTTCTCAATAATGGCTCAAGATAGAAACATGAAACTTTCAGGTATGATAGACCATAGTCTATAGATATGCATAGTGTATTTCATTTTTATCGGAAATGCCGCACGTCGGCGCTCGCTATGGCCCGAAAATAGTCCTATCGTGAATTTCAAAATTTTTAACACCTTTTCTACGATATCTTTTTACCTGGAAATATTTTGTTAAAACATATTGAACAAAAGAAGTGTAGACATCCAAGATCTTTCAAATGATATCTCCAAAAAAGGGCTGGCCCCTAAAATTAAGGGCCCAGAGGGGCCGAAAGTTTTTTCTTTATATCTCAAAAAGTACTGAAAATTTGTAATACGTCAAAGAAGCAAAGTTGCTCAAAATGTCAAGTTTAATCTTTTGGAGTCGTCAAAATACGTCCGGCGTCGTCACTTCCGGCCAAACCGGAAGTAGTCGAAAACGTGTATTTTTGCCGTTCTTCACAAGTTTTGGGGTAAGATATGTCTCCGGAAGCATAAAAATTTATTTTCCGTCCGTCGTCGTCACTTCCGGTCAAACCGGAAGTAGCAAAAATTGCTTATTTTTGCATTAATTAACATAGCTTTAGAGGATTCAAACCATTTTTAGGCATTATTTCTTATTTTTGTTAAAAATTAAAGCTACTTCCAGTCAAACAGGACGGAAGACCTACTCGTTGCTTTGCAACGAGCTTTGCTCTAGTTATGTTCCCCAAACGAAGTTGGGGAACATATTGTTTTTACTCTGTTTCTTATTATTATTATTATTTTTCTTCTTCTTCTTCTTCTTCCTGGGTACTTTTTTGTCCGGGAGTGATCTTGTAAACTGTTCATCCGATGTAGGTAAAACCTTTATAGGGTCAGTAGACATGTTATGTAGATTTGCGGAATCAAGGTCATTTGGCGCGCACGGGCTTGCAAGAGCGCGCACGTGCAACACGTGAAATGACCAATATAATAGATATAGCTTAAATTTTTCTATTTTTTGATGAAATGCTTTGAAACTCATAATATGAAGATATATTAGTGGTATAAATATGATGACATGATCAAAATAGCAAGATCTTACGCGCATGCACGTGCACTTCGCTCTGATTGGCTGAAACTAAAGTCTCAATATCTTTCTTGTTTTTTGATGAAATCCTTTGAAATTTTGAACATAGCCATGCATTAGGATATCCTACAACATGATATATAACAATTTTCATGAAAACACGTGCATGCACGTGCGCTGCAATCTGATTGGCTGAAACTTTAAATAGCTATAATTCCCTTGGTTTTCAACTTAACAGGATGGGATTTGGAACATAGATAGATATGATAGACTTCTACAAGAAGGTATGGTCAACATGCACATTCGTACACGTGCGTGTACGTGTGCTGCAATCTGATTGGCTGAAACTTTAAATAGCTATAACTCCCTTAGTTTTCAACCAAACAGGATGAGATTTGAAACATAGATAGATATAATGGACTTCTACAAAAAGGTATGATCGACATGCACATCCATACACGTGCGTGAACGTACGCTGCAATCTGATTGGCTGAAACTTTAATCAGCTATAACTCCCTTGGTTTTCAACCAAACGGAGTGGGATTTAGAACATAGATAGATGTAATGGCCTTCTACAAGAAGGTATGTCACCATGCTCATGTATGCACGTGCGTGCATGTGAAATGAGTAAAATCAAAAATACAATTGAATGAGCGTATTTTTTAATACTTTTGGATTAAATACTCTAATATTTAGTATATAAAAGTATATAGATTGTGTAGACAAGATGACATGGTCATTACGCACATGCGTTCACATGCGCACGCGTGCAATGCTAAAATTTGAATGAACTTGGTACCCTTCTGGGTAAACTTGTTAAAGTATCAAATGCATAAAGTTTGTCTTATTTAATGAAGCTTACAGGGAATATGGCACCAAAAGGGAGATGGGGAGCGTTTTGGGGAACATCTGTAACGGTCCCCGTTACAATTAGCACTAGTTATTATTATTTTTCTTCTTCTTCTTCCTGGGTACTTTTTTGTCCGGGAATGATCTTGTAAACTGTTCGTCCGAGGTAGGTAAAACCTTTTTAGGGTAAGTAGACATGTTATGCAGATTTGCGGAATCAAGGTCATTTTGCGCGCACGTGCTTGCAAGAGCGCGCACGTGCAACACTTGAAATAACCAATATAATAGATATAGTCGGAACTTTTCTATTTTTTGATAAAATGCTTTGAAACTCATAATGTAAGGATACATTAGTAGTATAGACAAGATGGCATGGTCAAAATAGCAAGATCTCACGCGCATGCACGTGCGCTTTGCTCTGATTGGCTGAAACTAAAGTCTCAATATATTTCTTGTTTCTTTTCATAATCTTTTGAAATTTTGAACATGGTCCTACATTATGAAGATCTACAGCATGATATATTAAAATTTTAATAAAAGCATGCGCATGCGCACGTGCTGTAATCTGATTGGCTAAAACTTTAAATGGCTATATCTCCTTTGTTTTTTGACGAAATGCTTTAAAATTTAAAACATAGTCATGCATTACGATATCCTAAAATATGATATAGAAAATATTCATGAAATCACGCGCATGCACGTGTGCTGCAATCTGATTGGCTGAAACTTCAAATGGCTATAACTCTCTTGTTTTTCAACCAAACAGGATGAGATTTAGAACTTGGATAAATATAAGGGACTCCTACAAGAAGGTGTAGTCATTATGCACGTGCTTGCACGTGCGTACACGTGAAATGAGTAAAATAAAAAATATACTCGAATGAGTGCATTTTTTAATACTTTTGGATTAAATGCTTTGATATTATTAAAATTTAAGATAGTGTAGACAAGATAATATGGTCGTTACGCACATGACCACGCGTGCAATGCCTATTTTTTAAATCTATTTTGTATTTTTCTTGGAAGACCTTGATTAAGTCTAAATTCCATAAAGTATTTCTTATTTAATAGAGATAACAGGGAATATGGCACCAAAAGGGAGTTGGGGAGCGTTTGGGGAACATCTGTAACGGTCCCCGTTACAATTAGCACTAGTTACTAGTTATCATTAAAAATTAAGTCAAGGTAACATATCAATATAATGGGAGTTTTTCCCAGCTAGCTTTTGAGACAGAACAAACTGTCACATGTCTTGGTTACGGCTTGACAGCAGTTGGTTTTTCCTACTGGAACATGCCAAGATGAGCACGTAGAAGATGCTTCTTTTATCAACACTCAGAAAAGAAATAATTGGATGGTAGACTTTTAAAATTTTGTTTGCCTCAACTTTCCTTTAGACCTTTAATTGTTATCAATTCAAGGTCTCTGAATTCTACACTGGTTTAACTGTTGTTTTACACAGTCTACCCCATGAATACCCAGTAGCACCCCTCCCACCCCCACCCTCAATAACACCCCATCTTACTATCCCACACTACAAAACAAATCAGATACATGTAATATCACGATTGGTTAAAAATGACTTAGAAAATCAGCCAATCGGCTAATTGCCTGTCAAAAATAAATCTTGAAGAAGCCATGATTTTCCTCATTCACTCCAAGTTCAAAAATCTCTCTATATAAATAGCATATATAAACATGTATATTTAGTAAAAGATATCTATTGACATATGTTGAAGCACAAGAAAATAACCTGATCTACGAAACATACTCCAAATGTGACTGTGTTTTACAAAATGAAAAATTAAATGCATTTTTCCATTATAAACTCACTTAGATTTAATGAAAACTTCCAGTTCAGCTTTATCTTGCAACATAAATTATTATACCTGGTACTTGGTTGAATCGCTCAAAAAATTCTAAAAGTTCAATGATACAAATATAGATCATCAAACTTACCAGTGTTTGTGTGTTCTAAAGCATCTTGAAAGTTTTTCTGAAAATACAAATAAATATTTCATTTTTAATAATCTGAGAACTGAAATATATATTAAGCTATTTATAAGAAAGAAATCTTAAATATATAAGGATATACCATAATTTAACTTAACACGGCTAGACTACCAAGGGACTTCCAAATGTCCTTGGGTTTTTATACTGGAATTTCTTAGAGCAGTCCACCTGCAAACCCTACTCTTGTTAGAAACATTTTTATTCAGAAATTTGACACTTGTATGTGCTTTAAAAACATTTTCAAAAATACCATGACAGTCAAATAAATTCTCTTTAGCCATAGGTAATTTTGTGGAACTGGGTAAATTTGCCTGGGTGTTTTGAGAGATGACGTCAAAAAGTAAAGTTAATTCACAGAAAACAAAACACACAACAGATACAAAACACTTTCCCAGCAGTACATATAGCTCACCTGATCCTATGGCTCAGGTGAGCTAAAAACTCAACATTTTGGCTGAGGCAAAATCACTTTACCAGGGTATATTCAACAGGATGATATAAAAGTATCATAAAACTAAGTCTAAATGTATTTAATATATATATTACATGTTAACAAAATAGTGACCCATGAAATCCCCAAACATAATTGGTCTCCCATGAACTCTAATGATTTTCACATTTTCATTGTATACATGCACCCATACATTGATGAAATATCTACTAAAACAAGATATTTGTGAAACACTTATGCCCCCTTCAAATAATTGTAATTTTTCTAAGTCCAACGGGCATAACTCTGTCAGAACAAAATTTGACCCAGATATTCTTAATCTTATGATAAATCTTTATACCAATTAAATTTCCTTTCAGCATATGCAACCTCTGCAAAGAAAACAAGAGGCCCATGGGCCATATCACTCACCTGAGTAACTTGGGTCAGATGCAGTTCTTTACAAGATTACCCCTCTTGCTATACCTATCATGCCCCACTACCCCCTTGCCTTTTATGATTTTAAAACTTTAGAATCTACACTACCCCTGGATGCTTCCACCTAAGTTTCAGCTTTCCTGGCCCAGTGGTTCTTGAGAAGAAGATGTTTAAAGATTTGTTCTATATATTTCTATGTAAAACTTGGATTCCCTATTGTGGCCCTGCCCTACCCCCGGGGGTCATGATTTTAACAATTTAAGGTAGAGACCGATAGCAATCACGTGATAGAAAGAATTCGCATATTTGCACGTGCTGTTTTTCCGGATTCCGCAACGCCGTCAAATAAAAGTCTCCATTTACACATTATTGTCTATGCTACAAGATGGCCGACGAAGCAATCGAGAAATTTCCTCGATTTAAAAAAACAAATTTGCCCTATATATTAAATCTTTACAGTTCTCGAAATTGAAGCGTCTTCATGAGAATCAAAATAGAAGTGAGACTGAAACCGACCAAGAACATAATTTTGGTGAAACTTCTCCTTGTGACAATGTCCAGTGTCCACTGCAGCACCACGTGGGTACACCGGTATCGATCTGTGTCTGATGTTGTTTTCAGTATAGACATTAAAGACCATGACCATATGACGGAGGAAGTAAATCTTTTGCAGAACAGATTTTTTGTTTGCTGTATGACCTGTAACCGTGTCAGATACATAAGGTGAATATTTACGATAATTAATATATCAATCATGACTGTGGTGCTAAATGTTTGTTTACGCACAGGTCTGGTACAACAAGTATATTTAGCTTCAATTACCAATAACCTTCATAGATTTTTTTACCTTCCTAAAGTAGTTTTATTTCGCTAAAAATTAAAAATTATTTCATGACCAGACTGTAACTTCTAGAATAGAAGAACAAAACCAGACATTTCTGGTGTCAGAACATGATAAAGGCCGGATTGGTAAAAAATGTAAAGTAATCATACTTATCTGTGCCTAACACACAAGGTGGTGTTTAGTTACTCGAATCAAAAAATGGAAAAACATAATTTGCTTAAATTGTTCAAATGCAGAAATGTGTAAACTTTCTCTGCTCTGCAACATGACAGATGCTTTTTAATTATTAGCCTATAACCCCTTTCATAAATGATAGTGGACATTTCCTTGCGATTCTTTTGTCTTTTTGAGATAAAAAGTAAATTGTAAAAAGTTGCATTGAAAAAAAAAAAAACAACTTTAGGATCAAGTGCTAAAAAATAGGGTCAGTCAGATAGCAGGAAACAAGACGATTTATTAGCCTTTTGTAATATTTATATACATGTAATAAACTTATGTATGTATTTGTTTTATGCTCAAAAAGGGCCTGATTATAAACGGATATCATATTCATAGATTATATAAAAAATATTTAATACTACAGGTGAAGCAAGCTATGGACTAGACAATGTATTCAGCTTTCTCTGATGAAATAATGTGACCAAATCAAGTGTCACATGGAAAGAGGAATGTCAAGGGTGCCTTTTACATTAACTCCAAAATAGCCATTGGTTTGTAATTTTTCCTTTCAATTTACGCTTGCACATGTATCAGGGAAAATCCAGAAATTTTTTTCAAGAGGATGGTAAAAAGGAGGTGTTTTTATGATACATGTATTTTAAATTTATGATTTTTAGTCCTTGTATTTTTAATTTAAACACCATAATGTACATACAGTATTATTGTATACATGTAGAAGCATTTTCTCAAGTCAATAATTTCTCAAAGATCATATTAATATTTCAGGAAAGTTCAAGCCAGTTCTGCTACAGCAAACTGAACATAAAGTGGCATACTTGTGTGTCAGGAAACGGGGAACATGTATGTCTGGACTGAGAATCTAACCGGGGATCCCTGCATCACTACTTACATGTAGGTGCTATATTGATTTAAATACATGTATAGTTAAATGCTTGTGTATAAACATATAAAAAGGCATGTTGTAAATTGAATTCAAAACTGAATAACCAAAAAAAGTTGTAAAATGTGAGGATGTTTTCTAACTTGAATGAAATTCTTTCAAATGAAGCACCAAAGAATTGATATGATAATGTGAAGAAGTCAGTATTGTTAAAAAACTTTTAAGTGACATAGTTTTTTAACAATATTGACTTCTTCACATTATCATAGCTAAATTTGCAAATCAAAATTGTAAATAAATTCTACAATTTTTTTTAAATAGATCAAGCTATTTACTTTATTTTATTTTCATCATGTTACAGATCCCACGGAAATATAGGATCCTTAACTAATCAAGTGTCATCTGCAGTGTTACAAGAGAATATTGGATTTATATCAAGAAGGTAATTAGGGACAAAACTGAATTTAAAAAAAAATGGAATAAGATGTAAAAAGAAAAGTATTTTAATTCCACATATAATAGTTAGGTTGCTAGTTGTATATGCATTGATGTGTCACTGACAGCTGGTACATGTAATTTTTATTTCAACAAAAAACTTTATCCTTTGGTATTAACTCTTGAACAGTTTGTGCTGAGTCTTTGTATTTCACATTTATTTCTTTTCCTTTAACCCCATGGTCTTGGCCTTAGAGTGGGGCCTACATTTAGAAACTAAAATATTTGATCTTTATCCTGATATACCAAGTTTGTCTAATTAAGACAATTCATTAATCCATTGGGGCAAATAATTTCCTTGGGAGCAAAAGTGCCCAGATTAATGAGGCCGACTTTATATGCATTTAATTTAAATAATTCATGACATTATATAAAAAAGGTATCTCAGAAGTATTTTATATTCATATAGACATAGTCATACTATGTTTGCAGTGTAAGAAAGAAGTAAAACATGTATTTTCATTCTTATAGTATTAAAATATTTTGTTCTTTTCAGAAAAAGAACTACCAGAAGGAGACAGTAAAGAGGAACGGACATTTCACACCATAAGACCTGCTTGAAAATCTGAATATACAGAATGAATTTTGCTCACTGCAGATCCTTGTGAAAGAACACCTTTGTTGTATTGACATAAAAACAACGGAATTGTCAGGATCCTTGAACATGACGCAATTAACTAACTGCATACGATGGCAATTATAAATGCATACATGTTTACATGTACATTGATCTTTGTTAGCCAATAAGACAAAGAGTAAAATAGCAAGTTTATCCTATTACCGTACATGTACTGAATGTATTCACTTTATTTTGTTGAACTACATCATGAGTTTAAAAATTGTACAGTATCATATAGAGTTTATGGTGGGATTCCTCTAACTTTTATGAATCTGTTTGCAAAATCTATACTTTAAAGTTACAAATTATTACCTCTAATACATTGTATGTTTGTTTTTTTTTGTAAATTATTACATTATTTATGTATGTATGAAATGATAACCGAATCACTCTCCATTTTCCCGCACTTTTTACCATGTGATGCTTTAGTGTATTTTAAATATCTGACAACTGATGACCAGGCAGTCTTCATTTAACAGTGTAATACATAACACATTTTTATCTGAATATTTTTAAAACAAGGATAACATGCCGTGGATTGATTCTGCGTTCAAAACCTCATAATCACTGGGTTTTCTTATTTATGATGTACATGTATTTGGAATAAAAAAGGAATTGTTAAAAGAAAAGTGAAATTAATCATTCTATTGTTGTCAAAGGAAGAAAATAAAACAAGTTTACTTATGCACAGAATTGGTCAAAAGATATTGTCATTGATAATTCATCCAAGAATTGTATTTATAATAAATCTACAAAGTCAATTTGAACGATATGAAGGAAAGTTCTTATCTTTTTTAATATAAGTACAAAAAGGTCAACCAGGGCAACATGTGTCCAGGTGTACATGTATAAATTGTTTTCTGTGATATAGAATGTAATTTAGAAGAATATTACAAAGAATTTTACTCAATTTCTTTGAAATATTTTGATTGATTCTATCTATCAAAGTCAATTTGAACAATATAAGGAAAAGTTCTTATCTTTTTTAATATTAGTGCAAAAAGGTCAACCAGGGCAACAATGTGTCTAGTGTACATGTATAAATTGTTTTTGTGATACAAAATGTAATTTAGAAGAATATTACAAAGAATTTACTCATTTTCTGTGAAATATTTTGATAAATTCTTGATAATCTCTCTTAGTCACCATATTCTTCAAAAGTGCATCCTTCTAAAGGAAGGGGGTAGGGTAGGGTGTAAGATGATAAACTTGTTCCAAGATGAATTTAAACCCCATTATGTAGTATGATTTTTTTCTGAAATTTAAGACACTTATAGACTAACTATAATATGCAATAAAAAAAGAAATTTGATGGGTAATTTTTTCACAGTGGAAGCAGAAGTGTGAGACCTTGTGCAATGAATAGGCAATATTTTAACCTAATTTGACCATGCATCTTGGAAAATGTAATTCTGTTTTTCGCTAACAATGCTTGATAAATTTAAGATTGATGTCAAATATTAATCCATACAGAAAGATGTTTGAATTCATATAAGACAAATGATAATTGAAATAGCAATAAAAAATTTACAGCCCTTTTCATATCATATTCTTATATTATTTTACCCTGCTTTTTCAGCTCCTCGGTGGTTGATGAAGGCTATATTAAAATTGTCAAATTTCTCTAAAACTAGCCCGATGACCTGCCTTGAATTTTTGATATGATTTAGAATAAGGACTCAACACAAACATATAAAAAATTCAGAAAAATTCAATGGGTAGTTTTTTTGTTGACAAGCTATCAATCTCTACCTTAATATCTATACTACCCAAGGATGCTTCCACATAAGTTTCAGCTTTCCTGGCCCAGTGGTTCTTGAGAAGAAGATTTTTAAAGATTTGTTCTATATATTTCTATGTAAAACTTGGATTCCCTATTGTGGCCCCGCCCTACCCCCGGAGGTCATGATTTTAACAATTTAATATCTACACTACCCAAGGATGCTTCCACATAAGTTTCAGCTTTCCTGGCCCAGTGGTTCTTGAGAAGAAGATTTTTAAAGATTTGTTCTATATATTTCTATGTAAAACTTGGATTCCCTATTGTGGCCCCGCCCTACCCCCAGGGGTCATGATTTTAACAATTTTATATCTACACTACCCAAGGATGCTTCCACATAAGTTTCAGCTTTCCTGGCCCAGTGGTTCTTGAGAAGAAGATTTTTTTAGTGACCCACCCTATTTTTGTCTTTTCTTGATTTATAATATCTCCCCTTGTAAGGGGACTTGGTCCTTCATTTTAACAATTTAAACCCCTTTACCCAAGGATGCTTTGTACCAAGTTTGGTTAAAATTGGCCCATTGGTTCTTGAGAAGAAGTCAAAAATGTGAAAAGTTTACAGACGGACAGACGGACGGACAGACGGACGACGGACAAAATGTGATCAGAAAAGCTCACTTGAGCCTTCGGCTCAGGTGAGCTAATAAACAGAAACTTGGTGGACAGACAGACAATTTGACTGACCGACAGCAGCAAAGCAATAACCCTCCCTTCTTCGAGGTTAAACTTAAATTATGGTTAAACTTTTATGGTTAAACTTACGTCATTTAACAACATATCTAGAAAGTAGAAAGTTACCTCTTTGACTAAACTGTTGATTAGCGTCAGTACGTGGTCTATACTTGCTGGCTGGTCATGCCTTTGTGTGTCTGACGGTATATCTTTATCCATCCTCCATCACTTGTAATATCATCGGCAATCCAATTAGGGACGCTGAAATGCAGACAACATACAATAAACCTTATTTATACAAAAACTTGGTTAATACACTGATTTCTGGGTTTTTACAAGGTAACATCCATACACAATGTATTTCACAATTAATAAATAATCACTTAAGATGAATCATTCCCAACTGTAATGAAGATGTATTTTAATGTGGTTTATATTCCTTTCTGATGTAGAAAACAGGAGAAAGGCTACTAAATCACTTTATCTCAATTTCCAAAAAAAATTGACCCTGAATTGCTTTGATTTTAGCAATCAGTTGTCTTGGAGAGCAATAAATTTATGTCTCACTCACATTTTAGATCATAGTAATACATGTAGTACTAATGAAAATTTACAGTATGCTAAGAAAGTAATCCAAAACAAAATCAATGCATTGATCACAAAATGTATTTTCAAAATAATGTCTTTCGTTTCACATGCAGCATTTTAAAAAGTATTTTCAGTTTGACATTTTTAAGTACTGGTCAGGAAGAAATGTCAAAAAAATGTGACCTGAATGGCTATCAAAAGAAGGTTAACAAAACATTTATGCCATATGCAATTAACAATGACATGTAATACATATAAAATATTGCTATATTTTTTAAAGAATCATATTTATGTACAGTACATACAGCATTATGATTTATAAAGTTTTATGTGCTTCTTTTATCTCTTTTTTTCTAACCATGCAGCAGCGATTGGTCATAAATCATAACTGAAAATTAAACAGCTGATTTTAAATTTAACAGGCATACTTACAAGATGAAAGTAACACTTAAATTAACTTCAGTAATCAGACTTTTAGTATTCCTAAAAGCTTTTTAAATTAATTTTTTTCTTAGTATATACATGTACAGGATTTTCAAAAATAAAGCAGGCAGTATTTTCCATTACAATTGTCACTCTTATTGTATATCTGGAGGAAAAAAGAAATGAAAATAATGGAAATCGGAAAATATCAATTGCTTGTCAACTCTGTCACGATATTTGACCATCCTCTCTCATCCTTGTATCCTAACGCCCCCTCCAATAAATGACATCCTAGAATATAATGATTAGGAAAAATAGGCAATAATTCCTCAGTAATTCAAGATCCTTACATGCACTGGCTTAAAAATAAGATCTTATCACACAATGTAAAAAATTTGCTATACCTTTTTAATATTAAACATTGATCTACTCAAAACTATAAACAGTTAAACACCCACCAACAAGGCCATTTATCCTGAAATGTGTTCACAATTTATATATGAAATTATAAGATATTTATTGACATATATACATGTATACTGGCAGATACTTTTTATAGATTTCATTTTTTCTTGTGAGAACATAGCTGACTTTGTTTGAAGACGACAATTTCCACACTTATTAGGAAGTAAGTCAAGTTATATAATTCAGTATAAAAGTATACATGTAAAGAGTCATACCACATCCTAAATATGCCTTGAATACTTCATCTACTCATAATTAAACTTCCGGCAGATTTTATGAGAAAACTATCTGTTATACAATGCAGCATAATGTGGGATTTTGGGGGAGAAATAGATGCAAATGTCTTCTTAGTGTAGTTTTTATGCTTAAATCAGCACACGTTCCCATAAATTTTGTCTCTAAGCCACATAATGAAGTTCAACACAGGTACTGTTGGATCTAGATTTCTTCTGGTCATATTTATTATTCTGTCAGAATGTAAAAGCATATTACATGTATGTATTGTATAAAATGATAAGTTAACCTTTTCTGAAAAAAAAAAAAAATCTTCATTCATAAACAGTTGACCTAGAATAAAATGAGCAACTTAATTTGGTAATTGTTTGTCTCAATTAAAAATATAATCAGCATATATAGCAAGTACACTTTATAAATAGATCAAAAGATTGCACTCGTATATTAAATTATATGCCATGATTTGATAATGGGAAATTTTGAGAAAATCTTTTATTCAAAAAAAAATTTTTAAAGTCTCAACACTCTCAGAATCGGTTAGGGACCCATTCCTTAATTATTCCATCAAACTAAATATGTATAAAGAATGTCAGACATATTTTTGGCATCTGATATTTTTATTTGCAGACATGCTGTAGCCTTGAATGGCGACCTTTACCAATGAAGGACAGAGATGTCATAAGATCTCTTTTTCTTGTTAGTACAGTGTAGTATTAGAATTATTCTAAATGACCACTTTCCTTGCCTACGAAGGATTCCCCTATGATGAGGCCTTTAGCTGCTTTTAGTTGAAGCTCATCATGCAAGCAATACTGTAACAGTTGCAAGACGTTAGCTGTTAAGAACTGCACATCACAGATTCAATAATTAATTAAACCACTAAGAGAGATTTTGACCATTTTGAGTAACAGTTTTCAAATTATTCATCCCAATAACATCTGACCATGCTGATCACAATTATGCTACATAAAGATCCAGGATTTTATTATGTTTTCAGTTACTGCGATGTCTTTGTTTGTTGTTTTATGTCTTTCTTGAGAATTTTTCACTTATATGAAGATGCCACCATTTGCCGGCAGAAAGCTGCAAATTTTGTCCTGTACTAGGCACTCAGGTCCATTTAGCAGGGAGGGATATTTTTTTATGCTAGCACCTACTGCGACATGGGACCTCGGCTTATACAGTCACAGGTCTCATCCGAAAGACCGGTCCCCACATCCCACAGTGGGATTCGAACCTGTGATGTAAGGATCTACTCCTTACTTAACGACTCTAAAGAAGATGCTCTAACCACTGCGCCATGTGGGCGGCCATAGTGTTTGTAACAGGAATCTATTAACAGTTGGGAAAAACTTGAAAAGTCACTAAAATGAAAAAAATTCTTAAGCAGGGCACATTATCAAGCAGTCTGATTAAAATCAAACCTTCACTAGACTCTTTACTTTGATTTTATTTTGATTATCATGTGACAATCAAAAGAAAATGGAGCTTATGAAGGTTTGATTTAACATGATTTATCAGACTGCACCTTAAGAGAAAAAAAAATTAATTTTTTAAATAATATCAAAAACATAAAATACTATTGTGATATCTTGAATTAATGATATATTAATGTCAAATCAATGACATTCCTAATAGTTTCAGATAATTAATAGATTTATCCATAATGACATAATCATCTTGAATTTATGACATATTAATGTCAAATATTTGTAGTTTGCATGTTCATGTTTTTTTTAAAAAAAATGAAATAATGAGCTAATAACTTAGATATAATCATCCCTCAACTTCAAGTGTATATATATAGGTAAACACATTGACAAAGAATGATGTAACACTGCAAAATAGCCTTTGCAGCTCATCTCCATACTCCATATAAATAATTTAATTTTAGTTGTAACACATCACTTGATTAGGGTATATGATTTAGTGTATATCGTATAATACAAGTTGCCTACATCACAATAAGTTATGACTAAAACATATTACTCCACTTGATGTTACTTTTAAATAAAAATATACTCAATTGGAAGTCAAATTTGGAGGAAAATTTGCTGTATTATATTGTCTAAACTGAAATTTAATTATAAGGAATGATTGGGGCAGTTTACGCTTTTTTGTAAACCGCTTCTTGGTTATATTGTATAACATAGGTTAAAATAAGCTTCATTTCTTCTTAAATAATGAATTCCAGTTGATATGACTTAATGACCATGGAATAACTTTAGTAACATATGGATTGATATCAAAGTGAATACCATGTTATACAGCCATAAAATGATTTACTGTTGTCAGGTTGTTAAATTCAAAGCTATCTAGCATGAGAGGTGGATCTTTTTATTGTTTATTATCATCTTCTGACTACACACTAATCTTCATTCATGTGCTCTTGTTGACCCCTATCAGCTGTGAGAAAGGGCACGCACGCAGTAGAAGGACCAGGAAAAACTCAAATATTGATTCTGTCACTCTCTAGCAAACACAGACATAAACAATACTTGTCTTTAAATACACTACCATCTACTTGATTTTCCTCAAAACTAAGCCCTATAAATAAATAAAAGTCGCGAGGTCACTTTCAAAATGAACTTTCCGGAAGGCGCTGTGTTGAAAGGCAGGCGACCTTGCCATATTAATTGTTTGAAGCAGATATTTTGATTATCGTGTTTTATTCTGCAGCTACCTAAAACCCAAAGAAAGCAGCAATTATCTCAAATTGATTAAAAATACGACACTCACCTGTTTCGACTTCCTGCGCCATGTCATTATGATGTCACTCAAAACAAAAATCCGAGTTGTCAATATTTTGCATCCCGTTCTCGATCGAATTTCCATCAAGTTTTTGGCGCTAAATACAAAATTCTCATATATGGGGCGAGTACAAAATTTGTATGTCCAAGTAATCGAAGGTTCATGGTATATAGTTTTTATCCTGTCCGTCTGTCTGTCCGCTAAAGCTTTAGTAGTAGTATTTATTTGGTATCATGTCATCATACATAAAACAAATACCCATAATTATACATAATCATATGAAAGACAAAAGTTGGCAACCTAGATTTCATAAATAAATAATTAAGGTAACAATATTTTTAGAAATATAATTTCAAGGTGACTAGAATTGACACCAGGATAACCCATTAAATCTCGAGAGCTTACTAGTATTTCCAATGGGGTCCTAACCTTTAACGTTGTCCATAACTTAACTTTGAAGCATGAAGTTTGTGACAAATGAAATCTCTAACAACAGCTGTTCAAAAGTTATGACCAAGGTTAAAGTTTGGTATTTTTTTGTAAAAGGGGTCAAACCCCAAAGTCAAGAGGTCAAGGTTGATGGTACCTCAAAAAAGGTCTGTCACAAGGAATACACCAGTCCCAGTGAAATATGAAAATCATAGCCCCACCCAATCAAAAGTAATGGGCAAGATTTAAGTTTTTACGGACAAACAGAAACATTTAAGCAGATCGACAAAGACGTACATAGACGAACGGCAGACGATCTTTCTGCCTGTTTGCTCACAAAAACTTTCACCTTCCCCATAACTTTAGAGTGGATGGGGCTATGACATTTATATTTCACAGACGTATTTCTTGTTTCTTTGGGTACCACCAAATTTGACTTCTCGACCTTGTCCTTGCGTGTGGCACACTCTTACCTTTGCCATAACTTTTGAACGGTTAGTGCAAGGGCTTTCATTCTGCACGTGTTACTTCACTGATTCAAGACCTTTCAATGGGTGTAAATATTTTATATCTTTTGACCTTGACCTTCGAGTTTGACCCTCTTTTAAATAACTTGAAATTTTGACATAACTTTTGAATAGATAGTATTAGGGCTTCTTTATTTCACGTGTATTCCTTGTGAAAAGACCCTCCTCTTGATACCAACAATTTTGACCTTTTGGCTTGGCATGTCTTTAATTTTGCTCAAAACTAAAATCTTAAGCTTGCTCATAACCTTTGAGTGAGTGGGACCATGATTTTCATATTTCACAGGTGTATTCCTTGACAAGACGTACATTACTTACCACCAAATTTGACCCCTTGACCTTGGAATGTGACACACTTTTTTAAAAAAATCACATTTTAACCTTTGCCATAACTTTTGAACAGTTGGAGCTAAGGCATCCATACGTCAAATGTTTATTCATTGTGACAAGATCTTTTAGTGATCGAGTATAAGTAATTTTCACATTGACATTAGAGTTTGATCCATTTTTAAAAAACTTTTACCTCGGCCATCACTTTTGAACAGTTAGAACTAGAATTTTGAATATTTCACAGGTGTTTTCCTTGTGACAATATCTTCCTTTGGGTACCAACACATGTGACCTTTTTACTGTGAACTTTGGAGTTTGATTTGCTCTTTCGAATTCGTAATTGTATACATACAGGAATGTTTGTTTATGGTTAACATTAAGAGATATATGTTTCAGTGTAAGAGATATCTCTCTGCTTATAAAAAGAGATATCTCTCTTAGTATAAGATATATCTCTCTAACTTTAAGAGATATCTCTTTCTTATAGAGATATCTCTTAAAAATAAGAGATATCTCTAAGTTGGGAGATATCTCTATTTTTTAAGAGATATCTCTCTAAAATGAGAAATATCTCTGTAATTTTAAGATAAATTTTATTTTCTGAATAGATAGCAAAAGGACATATTTGTGTTTATCAACAAAGTTTCAAACAAAGGATTTATAGTTTTTTTGTTTACATAATACATATATTATTCTGGGTATGACATGCTCAGTCTTTTTTTCTCATAACAACGAAATTATTCCAGAGACTTTTCATGTTTCTCTTTCGTTTGAAAGGGGAGAATTAAGACCTTAATTGTAGAAGAGATATCTCTCTCGCTTAAAGAGATATCTCTCTAGCTTATTAAGAATATTAGATATCTCTCTAAGTAAAAGAGATAACTCTCTTACAAAAAGAGATATCTCTTTGTTTAAATAGACATCTCTCTAAGGTATAAAGATATCCCTATAAGTCAAAGAGATATCTCTATAAGCTAAAGAGATATCTCTCTTATTGAAAGAAAATTTATATTTCACGAATAAATAGTAAAAACTAGGAAACTTCGATTCCCGGACGGCGCGGAAATCCTATAGCTATAAATAAACGCCACATCACTACGAACTTGACCTCAGGTGCATAGGTACATTGTATCATATCTAAGTTTCAATTATTTGCTTTCGTATACTAGTATATAGGATTATTGAGAGACTCAACAACTTTACGTTTTGAGGAAGACGGTGAAAGAGAAATGAGCTCTAAGACTGTCCCAGATGAAGCAAAATATTTATCAATTTTCACCATTCTAATTATGTTCCCCAAACGAAGTTGGGGAACATATTGTTTTTACTCTGTTTCTTATTATTATTAAGGTCTTTCGTCTTCAGCGGAAGACCTTCTTGTTATTCTTAGGTTTCTTTTTCACTTTTATTAAGGTCTTCCGTCTTCACGGAAGACCTTATAGTGATTCTACTGTTTCTTATTAAGGTCTTCCGTTTCAGACGGAAGACCTTATAGTGATTCTACTGTTTTTTCTTTTTATTATTATTTTTTTTCCCTTTTCTTGTAAATCGGATTTCTCAGAGATGGCTGGACGGATTTTCTTGAAAATTTCAGGGATGATAGAGAATGAAAATACGCCGAGGCGTGTTTTTCATTTTATCAAAATTCACTTCCGGTCGTCAGTTATGTCCGATTTCCGCTTTTTTCAAAATAATTTTGTCTGAGTCATATCTCAGAAACGGTAAAAGATTAAGACACCAAACTTATAGAAGTAATAGATCTTGATTAGTAGGCAAGCCCATTTGGGTTAACATCGTCCGCCGTCACTTCCGGTCGTCACAGGAAGTGATCAAAGAAATCAAAAATTTCAACTTTTCTTTTATGAATCTTTTTTTGCATCAGATAACAACATCTTATT